CATTTCCTGCAGCCCTCGCCTCTTCCATGGCTGCAGTATCATTAATGTAATATTACAGGTATGTGTCAAAAGCACTGTGGTCTGTTGGATCTATTATGTTTCACCCTAAGGTCAGCAAATTCAGAATGCTTTAGAGATCAAACTAAAATGGTTTACTAAACCAAAAGTTTTTACTTTTGCTTTTGTCTCAGCCATGGGGATTAATTTCTGAAACCATCATTGGCCCTGAAGCAGCTCAAAAAATCTCTTTAAAGGGCTTTTAAAATAACCTACCAGGGAGAGTAGCTACATTTTCAACATTTTGTTAAGAGAGGTTATACATCAAGGATAGGTTAAGTATTTTAATAAATTACTTTATAGCCCCTTATTGATGTCCAGAGAAATTGGGAAAAGGTAAAGGTTACGAATGTTTACTGGAACCACCCTGGGAAAATGAAGATAAATTGGCTAATGCTTGATGCTTTATTTTGTGCGTACCTCTTAGGAAAGCATGTGCTTACTGATTTTGTCTATTATTTTTTTTGGTTTTGTTTTTAAAATATTTTAATCATAATACTAAATTGGTATTTGGTATTAAATCATATCTCTTATTGTGAAAACATATAGGTTGCTAGAATGTTTTCTTTAGTTTTCCCTTCTTAATTTTTTTTCTGAAAAATTCCCTGCCTCACTGACATTGAATTCCAGTTTAAGAAATTAGAATGCAGTATATAATAGAATGATAAAGTAACTGACTAAAGTCATGCCAACTTGTTAGTCGAACTGGTTTGAGAGGCTCCATATGAAACAGATTTCAGAATATGTCATTACAGGAACATTGAGGTGCCCTTCACAGAAAATCTTGAATTTGAAAGAAAAGCTGGGATGGGTTTCTGAGCAAAGATTAAATAAATGATAGGAATATGTTTTTATTTATTTTTCTATGAAATTCACTGGTCATTAGCTGCATTGTATGTCTATAGTTTGCAACAATGTTTTTTAGTTTGGTTTTGGGACTCTGCCTTGATTTTCTGTTTCAGAAAATAGAACTAAGCCACTTTCTCCTGTTTTCAAACAAATGTGTTTGCACTTAACATATTCCAGGCAATAATTTAGCTACTTGTTACTCTCTTTCTCCACAATTTTTTTATTGTGGAATATCAAGTCAGCTGTTGGACGGTCAGGCAAAATATCCAGGAATTCTTTTTTTCTTTTTGCTACATTTTTCCCTATCCTTATTGATGGTTTATTGGAATATGTGTGATGCAGTTTATAAAGAGAAACAATTGTATTAGATGGTATCTGCCTCTCTTTCTTTCACAGCTTTCCAGTAAATAAAAAAGCAATCCACTGACCTGTTTTGAAGTCTGACTTTAACTGAACTGTTCATGACAATGAAACATATTGAGGATTTTATTTAACCCCCTTCAGCAGCTGTTCCTGCTTTGTTTAAAGTAATTGTTTTTATATATTAAATGACTTCCACTCAGGCAATGACTCTGTTTGTCAGTAGTCTCAGTTTGTGCCCTGCCTGGCCCTTTGATGGTAATCTCTGATTAGTCACACTGTTCCCAGCCTTTGGAGTTTGTTACGATCTTTTACAGAGGAAAGAGATAGAGGAGGATTGAAGTTATCTGTAAATAATTAGGCAGGTGGGCACGTCATGCCAGCTGTGAAAAAAAAGTACTCAGCAATTTAACCAAATGCCAAATATGAGCCAACATGTGCCATTGTTCTTGGACCCTGTGAGGCTAAATATGAATAAGCATGCATTCTGCTATGGCTGTGACTAACAAAGCCATAGATGGGTTCCACTTTATTCTGCATGGCTATTTTGCCATTAGTTTAATTTGAAAGAGAAGGTAGAAACCAATTTTTATGGTTGCATGATGGCATTAAATGGTGAGTCACATGAAAGACTAGTAGAAGAGTTAGGAGTGTTAATTTTAAATTTTGTAAAAAAAACAAGGAAAGCAAGATAGTTGGCTAGAAAGATTTGTTGCGCTAAAAGAATATTGTATAAATCTTGTAGCTGTTGTGCTTGCTTATGCTATGTCTCAAAAAAGAAAGGGCTTTTACTCATCTTGTTTCAGAAATAAAGTACTCAGAAAAGACAGTATGGTGATTTTTCTACCTAATTTTTAATAAATTTTAGGGACCCAGATTTTCCCTTCTTAAAAAGAAATGGGAAATATTTTGGGCTAAACATGTGATCATATGTAAGATGCATTTTATGAAAAATTATTTGCCACCTCAGGATGTGTTATGTACCCTCAAACACAGAGAGGTCTCAGGGAGGCATAGGATAAATAGATATGCTGAAGAAGTAGGTAGTAATGTCACCGAGGCAGATGGTAGAAGTGGAATTAGTGTTCTTGGGTGAAATCAGAACCCTGTCTCTGGGTACCTGCTGAAGAGCAGGGTGAGCTGCTGCTGCCACCCACCATGAGGCTGCAAGTCGGTGTCTTTCAGATGGGATGAGTGGTAGGATTATGGCTGTAGCTGGCTGATTAGAGAGGGAGAGGGAGAAGGATATGTCTGAGTGCAGAAGTGTGAGCTTATCAATGGAGGACAAGTCTCTTCAGGTGTGTTACAAGAGGCTAGCACTTGGATCTCATTTGACATTCAGCAAGACACTTGAAAACAAGACTTTACTAATTTTCTGATGTTAAATTATTGTGTACTGGATTATTTTTGAACAGGTTTAAATGTACTGCGAAGAATTTTTCTTGGGGGGGTTGTTTGTGGTTTTCTTAAGAACTCCTCTAATATATGCTGTTTTCATCTGAGATAGAACTAATTTTCTACTAAGTAGCTGGCGCAGTGCTGCTGTTTGGATTTAACAGGATAGAAACTTGCATATTTAATACTGAAAGGAAAAGAATACGAGCATCTGAGTCCACTGAGGCCACTCCCTTGTTTTTTGTGTTCAAAATAATCTTTTTTTTATTCCAATTTTTTAGGGTGGTTGATATTTTATGACAAGCTGTGTTTTCTTGCTTGGATGGATTTGACTATAATGACTGATAATTTTTTTTCTCAAACTCATTGCTACTGTGAAGTGGTTGCTTTGAGTAGCAGCTTCAAACTCAGACGATCTTCACTTTTCGTACATTTTATCATGTCTGTTGATTTCACTCACTTCTTTTTTTCTTTCTCCTATTTGTATTGTATAGGCAATGCGTAAATCTTTGCTCATTCTGTCCCATTAAAGCCCATTAAAACACTTCTCTGGTGCACTGCCTTGGGCTCTTCTTTATACTAGAGAAAGGCAAGTTTCATTTTCAGTAATCACTACAAATGAGCACAGAAAGCTGAATTTTAAGGTTAAATAGTTCCAGGGTTTTCACAGGTATCTGGAATTCTGTTAACATAAAAAAAAAAGTAGGTCAAGGACTTGTTTTGACATTCAGAATCTTCTTCTGATGGCACTGACTCTCAAGAAATATGCAGAGTTTTAGAACAAAGTCACCTTAAAACTGCATTTTTATAGTATTTTTGGTCTCTGTCTCTCCACTGTTTTCCTCATGCATTAGTTGTTCATACCTTTGGAAAACACTGAGTTGCACAGTTCAGGTGGTAATTCATCTGCCACACATCACAGAGCAAGAGGAAACCTCCCTTTAGTATATCTGTTTCCAGAATTTGTACTTCTCCCATTTGGAGACGTGGGAAAATTAAGAGAGATTAAGATAGTCCTGGAATATCTGCCTTGGTACTTCTCAAGGACGAAGTGCCAAATTTCTCAAACTTTCCTAAGAGATGGGTGCTATCAGTTGCTGAAACTCATGAGGAATCTGTAACTTGTACAGTTGGCTGCTGTGATTGCTTAAAAGGAAAATGAACAAAAAAATCCACTACAATCAATGAAGCCTTCAGCTTTAATTTAAAACCAGAATTGATTGCACTGTACATTTTTATTGACCAAGTAAGCTAGTACTAACCCCTTTAGCTCAAGCAAGAGTGTGAACAGTCTCCTCCTCACTTTTGCCTGTGCATTCAACCCGTAACTGAGAGGTGAACAACCAACACCAAGTGTTTCAGCCTGGTCTCCAGCTCTTTCCCTGCAGGGAAGCTGCTCATTGAAGCCCTCATGGGGCAGCTGTGTAGGAAAGATCACATCTGCCATCAGGCAGTGAGACTGTTGCCACTAAGGTTGGAGTATGGTCTAGAGCTCTGACCACATGGAGAAGTGCTTCTTTATCCCTTTGTCTGAAGTGCAGAAACAACTGTCTGGATTCTTCAAAAAGCAGAATTCTTTTATGCGTCTGGATTGAGATCTCTCTCAAGTTTTACTGTATCAAGAAGTATTTCATAAAATGGGGTTGCCTTTTATCTATTTATTTTGTTTTTCACCTTTCTTTTCTGGCCATAAGTCTACAGATGAATTTGATTTTCTATTACAGAAGGAGCTTCCTTGAGGCTTTAATAAGTAAAGTGGAATTTCTTTAGGGAAATTTCCTTCTTGATTATGATTATGTATGCTTTTGTGGGTATGTTGGTATGTGTGTGAGGCAGATGGTAATGGCTAGTTCTGCAAACTGCCATGTTTAATTTCCACATACTCATGAATTCTTCATAATCTGAAATTTCTTGAAAAATGTTAAATTGTCTGTTGAAAAGTTTGGGGGAAAAAACGGAAAGCTTGCTTTGTTTGGTTCTTAAGAATATAGAATATCTGTCTTAACATAGTCTAACCCTGAAGTACTAAGGTTGCCCTTAAATTTCTGTCCAGGGCCCCCAGAGGTGATTGCACTGTGCGGGAACCTCCAAGTTACACTCCCATCACATATCTTCTTCCTGAAGTAATCAGTGTGTGTCAGGGGAGAGGAGGTAGCGACAGAAGGCTGTGTGCATCTTTTGTCTCTCATTCTGGGTTCACTGGCTGCTGTCTGCTATGCAAATGGTAATACAAAAGAGAATAGAGGAAGCTGCTTCGGATTTGTATATGAGTCAAAAAACAGTTGGCTTTCAGACGTTGGTAAATGTAAACACAGATATGGTTGTTTCTCTGTTTTTAGGAATATACTATAGATATAATTTTTGCCCAGACTTGGTATGACAGTCGTCTAAAATTTAACAGCTCAATGAAGGTGCTCATGCTTAATAGCAATATGGTTGGAAAAATCTGGATTCCAGACACTTTCTTCCGGAACTCAAGGAAATCTGATGCTCACTGGATTACAACTCCAAATCGTTTGCTTCGAATCTGGAGTGATGGAAGAGTATTATACACTTTAAGGTGAGTTTTTATTATTTGGGTAGAAAAATAACCAAAACCCTGCTATGACCAGGAATATGAAAATAATGAATATGAATCAAATTCCTGACATCTCTTTTGTTATGGACCATAGGAATTTGCAAGGAATTGATTAAACAAGAAATTTAAAAAATCATTTGATCATGAGAAAGATTAAATTCGTAGTATTGAAATATAATGCAGAGATAATTGCATAAGGACAACTGAAGGTGATAGCAAATTTTGATCTTATTTAGGTGCAGGCAAGATTTAAAAAAGGATGCTATATAGTATATAGCATTGTGGTGGTCTGTCATTAATATACTGCAGATAAATTCTTTTTGGTCAAAATACTTCATAATCTAATTTCCACCAAATTATATTCTGTAAGTAAATTATTAAATGCTTCAAATAATAAAAATTATAAGAAGTTTGATTAAAGCTAAGGCCCCAGTCCTGCATGTACTTCTTAACATAACTACACTTGTAAGCTATTAAAATCAACAGATCTGTTCATCCAAAATAGGCATAAACAAACATGGTTTTGGTAATTCTACTTGGCAAATGGGAGATACATGTGCTGCTTTTAAACTTAAGGCTATCTGTACTGATTTTTGAGTCACTTTTCAAAAAGTTCTTGAATGGCCATAGTCTGCAGAAAGTATTTTAGGATCATCTCTTGTCATATTTTCTAAATATGCTGAACAAATCTTGTAATAAGTCAGAAGCTGATCAAGAAGTAGTCTATGCAGAGGATGTCATAAATATTATTTTGCTCTTAAGAGTTTATTTATTTGTTTATTTATTTATTTAAAACAAAAAGTGGCACTTTTAATTACTTTCTTCTCAATCATTTATGCTGTGTTCATATGAAGTATATGTTGTATGAACATTGTATAAATTTCTCATGTATCAAATGTAAGAAAAATTAGAATGCTTTTAAAGGATTCTCTTTGAATTTTTTCTTAGTATGCATCATTTGAGAGCATACAGACATCTTTGAAGAGCACTTTTTAAATGGCTTATTATGCCAGTTGGTGTTTATGAAAGTCTCTAGAGAGCCCCTTCTGTTGACATGCTAATTTTTTTTTCTAATTAGCAATTGTAGAGTCATACTTGGACTGTACCCTTTCATTGTCCATTTATTTTCAATGAAAATATTCTTCTAAAGAGATTCAAAGTAACAGAAGGAAATAAATATAAGCAAAAAATCACATGAGCCCTCATGAGCAATAGGTTAGAATTACTGTGAATTACTGTGTCAGAGAATGAGAAATAAAGTGCAACGAGCTGGTAACTGAACAGCAGAGCAGGCTTTCACCCTGCACTGCAATACACAAACATCTGTACGGGTGAGGATATGGCCTGAATTTGACCTAAGGTAAAACAACGTTGAGAGGTTCATATCAGGCTTATTGAAGGAACAATAATATGATCTGACAGTGCTCCAGATTCATCGGCTCCCCTGTATAACCACTCTTTCCTTGTCAGTAATTTAGGGGGCAGATGTGGTGAAAATGTTAACCAGCCTTACAGAATCTCCTCTGAGGGTGGCCCGTTGTCTGCCCATAGCACCATCAGTGATTCCATATCTAGTTGTGGTGCCTTTAACACAAGGCTCAGCTTGTTTTCTTTTTCTATGCGTGTTTAACTATCCAAAAATTGGAAGTGGAAAGTAAATGCAATAAATGCATAGATCATAGTTGACAAATTTGAAAAGCATCTCCATAGCGATGCAAGTATTCTGCTTGAAAGTGCGGAGAAGTCTTTTTTCCTCTCTCCCACAGTGTATGCTAAGAAGTGCACTTTTCCTTATAAACCTTTTGTCAGGTCATAGTGGCAGTTTGTGTAGAATAAATACTTTGTTCAGAGACTTGTAAAACTATCTGGCAGCATGTCTCAGAGTATTTTCCTATCTCTTGTCTAATATGCAAGCATTGCCCACAGTCAGGTATGCAATGGCAATTTTTAGAGCTGATTTTGGAAGACATTCTGCCTTTCTATACAGTGTTGCCAACAAAGGAGGAGGTATTTTAAATGCAAAGAAGTCAGTTTGAAGTCTAGCCCCTTCCTTTGGCTTACTAGTGAAAGATAGCAGAACTGGGTTTTGCACTTATTGCTTGGAAGTCCTGTGGAAATCTGTGATAGCATTTTCAAAAGCAGAAAGTGATTTATGAGTCTTAAATCAGTTCTAAAATTTTTATAAGTTGTCAATTATTTGAATGTCTTAGACATTAAATAGGTAGAAACATAGTTTGCTTTTTCATATCCAAATACTGTTTTCAGCAGAACTGCTTCCATGAGTATAGAGCAAGTGCAATGTGCCCCACGATTTTTCTCTTATGTAAAACCACCAGACACAATGATGCCAAATGCAATTTGACTTGATAAGTGTGTTCTGCAAAAACTTCCTTTTTATGCTGTCATAAGCTCCTCTCCTTCCCCTGTCTTCAGACCCTAATTTTTATCCCCTATTTTTTTGTAGAGCTGAGAGGTGCCCCCAGATCAATTGAAATTTTGGAAATGGCAAGAAATACCAATTGAAACAACAGAGATCCTCAAGTTGCATCCACTGATAATTCCTGTTTTGTTCTTTGGTGCTAATGCTGGGTGTTGTTTTTCTGGTACCCAGGAGGCTATTCATAATATCCATTATTTGACAAAATTTATTTCTGTGCATGTTCTTTACTATGTAGTTTGAAGTGTCTGAATTCTTGAATATAACTTAGTTTCTTTTTTTTTTTTTCACCTTCCTTTTCTAATTAGGTTGACAATTAATGCTGAATGTTATCTTCAGCTTCATAATTTTCCTATGGATGAACACTCCTGTCCTCTGGAGTTTTCAAGCTGTATGTGGTAGAACACTTTTTTGTCCTCTTTACATTCAGGCTTTAAATGTACTTAAATTTTTGGCATCAGGAGAGCAAATGTTTACTTTTTAAAGCCTTGTGGCAAAAGAAAGTACTGACCATTCATGTTTTGACTAGATTTATTGCATTATTTAATAAACTAATGAATGACTTTAATCACTTGTATTTTTTGTGACTTTAAAAATTGTCTTTTTGCTTAGGTTTCTAATACAGTGCCTAATCCAATTAATGGAAATGCACTGTCCTGGAAAAACTTTATTTTCTTATGCCTGCAAGACTTGACAACTTTGAATTAGTTTCATATGATATACTTAAAAGGAAAAATAAGATATGTCTTCTTCAACTTGGTGCTGTAAATGCTGAATCATAACAATAAGTCCTTTTCCTTTCAATGGGACTTAGTTTATATGAGCAAAACCACAACCTTCAGGTTCTATTTTTTGATGCAAACTATGTTTAAAAAAAATAAATTCCTAGGCAATTGTGCTATTGTAATCATACAATCATTAAGGTTGGAGAAAAACTCCAGTATCATCAAGCCCAACTGACTTGAACTTGTCCAGGCTGAACACCAACTTCTCAACTAAACCATAGAACGAAGTGCCGTGCCCAGTAGTTTTGTACTTTGTTTGCATAATGTCTGTACTTCTAAGCTCTTTTTGATAATTTAACAAAAATGTAATGACATTTATGTTTTAATAGTGATGATTCTGAGCCAGTTTTTTTAACTGGAGTTTGAGAATACTACTTAGATATTTTCTAAACATTTGTATTTACACAGTTTTTGATTGAGCTTACATTTACCTAGGCTTAAAATTGAGGCCATTTATTTTGTGGTTAAATTTTAAGTGTGTCAGAAGAACCATAGATTGTGTCCGATGCACTGTATGTACAGCCCTGATTTAGTTTATGAGTAACTTCAGAGATCAGAAAACATTCTTTGGTACATTCTATGGCTGAATGTTTGGTTTGTTTTGTTTCATTCTAGATGGATATCCCAGAAATGAAATTGAATACAAATGGAAGAAAACATCTGTTGAAGTGGCAGATCCAAAATATTGGAGATTGTATCAGTTTGCATTTGTGGGGCTACGAAATACAACTGAAATTTCTCATACCTTGTCTGGTAAGGCAAAGTGTTGAGTTTTATTTTGTGCAATATCTATTTAGATCAAGACTAACAGATGAAGATACAACTGAAAACCATATTAGATGTCATCTAAATATTTTTTATTTTCTCTTAATTTTTTAGGTGATTATATTATTATGACAATATTCTTTGACCTCAGCAGACGTATGGGATATTTTACTATTCAGACATACATTCCTTGTATACTCACAGTTGTTCTTTCATGGGTGTCATTTTGGATCAATAAGGATGCAGTTCCTGCAAGGACTTCTCTGGGTAAGAACGTCTTTTTTCAGACTTGAATGATCTGGTACTCTCAAGGAATACAAATGTGCATCAGGGAGTAAATTAACCACAGTTTATTCCCCTTCAGATTGTGATGACTGGTCATTTTCTCTCCTGAACTGCAACACTGGGAGTAGGAGAATCCTGCTGTAGTTGCAGTAGTTGTAGTTGCTTCCTTAAACGGCAGTTTAACGAAGCAATGCTGAGCGTGGAAATCCTGAAGTCTTGTGGGTCTGCTGTTGTTCACATAAATAAATTTTTATTTCTGTATGGTGTTTTTTATCATTTCCAGGGACTGTCATGTGGCTGTTATTAGTCTGAGACTTAGCATCATGGAACAAATTAAGTCATACTACACAACCAAAAATGGAGAAAATCTGGTTTAGTTTTTTTGTTGGGCTTTTGTGTTGTTGGCATTGTGTTTTGGTTGGTTTGTGTTTGTTTGTTTGTGTTTGGGGGGTTGTTTGTTTGGCTTTTTTTTTTAGTAGAATGATTCAATTATTCTTTAATACCCAGGATATGACATAAAATTTGCAACCAAATTTGCACTTCAAGAAGTTAAGCCTATAATTCACAAAAACTCCTGTTTTTATTACAGACAGTACTCAAGTGGGTTGCAAGTTCAAATACAAAGATTCTGTGTTAGCTTCTGTGTTCTAATACAAATTCTGTGTTAGTGTCATCTTGGCTGACCTGTTTAGCATGGTGTCAGTCTGCTAAGTTTGACTATTTAGGATTCATGTGCTGCCCTGGAGGAAAGCTGTAGTCCCCACATGAAGCCTGATAAACAGGTACACAGAGTGCACAGGACGCAGCTTCGAGCTTAGCAGGGACAGATGCTTATAGAAGAACTAGTGACAGCAGTCTGACCTATTCTGGGGGAAAGGTCAAGAGCTGAGAGTTGTATTTTAGGAAGTTAGAGATGTGAGTTAATTTTCCTCATCAGTTGTATTGTTCCCACCCTACACCATTCCCATCCTACAAGATCATTTGCTACCAGAAGCATGAGCCCATAATTTAGCTCCCTGCCTTTCCCACTGCACTTGTACCACCAGCAAGCCTGTCAGATTAATGAGTTAAGAGAGAAGATAAGCAAGAATGAGCATGGCTCAGTATCCTAATGAAAAGGCAAGGGAAGAAAATCTCAGTCTTGGACCCTAACTTTATGTTATTTGAAAGTGCTGCAAAATTTAGTGAAGAGAGTCTGAAATCTCAAATAAATAAGTGAAAATGACTTTTGACAGTTTTAGACCTTGATGCAGAAATGTCATCAGATTTCTGTGACTGACTAATCATTGAACATCATTGTAGATTCCTAGTTGTTTTGGTTGGTTGTTTTTGTTTTTAATAATCTTGTGCATGTAAATAACAATTTATTTGTGTATTCAAGTATTGCTTTTCAAACAAAAGGTCACACTTTAATTTTGGGCTACTATGTAAATGAATTTGCATCTCCCTGAAGCATCAAATAGAAGAAGAAAATGTTAACACCTTATATATGCTAAACTAATGAAAAGTGGTATAGTTGAGATTTTGAACACATGGCTATTAAGGCAAATTTGTTCTTTTAATTAGCTTGTATGTAAGTGAATCAAGGAAAACATTTTCTATTACTTAAGATACAGTGTTGAGAGCGTATCTGGTAACTTAGACAATGAGACCAGAAAGCCGTGAATGTCATCAAATTTGATCTTCTACATCTTCTTCAGACACAGACAATTTGAAACATTATTCATTTTTCTTTTGTTTACCAAAAGCTTGCAATCATTGATAAATAATACATCTTTTATTTCTGAATGCATCGTTTTACCATTTTAATCATTCGCGCAAAGGGCCTTCCTTGTGCTTATAAAATTTGTATGCTTATTTGTACCTGATTTTCTCCTGTATTTATGTGTAAGTTTCATGTCAGTTTTATAAAATTTCACAAACTTAGTGTCATTGTTTGTTCAGTGTGTGTTGAAAATAGGAGGGATTTAAAGGGAAGGTGAAACGTGCTGCTTTCTCTATGATCCCATGGAGATCCATAGGGATGGTTCCTTGCCATAGCACCAATGTATGTGGATGTAATCAGTGGTGAACCCACTGACCCCTCCTGTGGGTCAATACTTACATGGCTCATCAATTAATTAAGAGCTAACATGATTATCTTTTTTGGTCACAATATGATTTGATTACCTATTCATTTCCCTCTTTCTGTCTTTTTTTTTTTTTTTTTTTACAGGGATCACAACAGTGCTGACCATGACAACGCTGAGTACAATTGCTAGGAAGTCACTCCCAAAGGTTTCCTATGTGACAGCAATGGACCTTTTTGTTTCAGTTTGCTTTATTTTTGTGTTTGCTGCCTTGATGGAATATGGCACCTTACATTACTTTACCAGCAACAGAAAAGGGGACAAAGGAAAAGAAAAGAAGGCAAAATCTAAGCCATCAGTAAGTTTAGTCAAACAAGAAAAAACAAATAGAGTGGTTTTTATTGTAGTATTCATTTTGAATGACTGCCTCTTAAGCAGAAAAGCTAATGTTCAAAGATAATTAGCACTAATATTTCTTTTTTTGTTTTTTCTGCAGTTGGGAGCTTGTACTAATTTTGTGTAAGTACAAGTAGTGATCAAAGGGTTTAGATGATTTCACATATATGAATGAGGACACATGAGCCTAGGGTGGAGAGTGGTTTGATATAATATTCCATGTCCTTGGTACTTCTAGAACTGCCCATGAAGTGCGTGCCCGTGGAGATGGTTCTGTAGGGGCACAGTGCTTCTGAAAACAGCACCTGGCAGAGAACCACAGCTAAAACTGTAGCAGTAAAGATAATGTGCATGGATTGAAGGTATGAGGATTTCTTTGGATCTGCATCATCTAACTTAAGTATTACAAAACTTTGCAAAAGAAAAAATGCTTATTATTGGCCAGTATTCTGCATCTCACTACAGAAATTCTATCTTAACTCTTTTCTAAATTGGCTTCCGTGTTTCTTTCTGGTTAAATTAACCTTCTGCTTTTACAAGTTGATGTTTTTATGGTAAACCTCCACACATCTCAGGATCAAGTATTATTCAATTCTAAGAGTCTTTCTGTTTGTGTAGTAAGAATACTGCAATTTCCAATGAATTTATTGTTGGAAGTCAGTTAAAATATTTAAATGTAGTGTGCAAAGTAAGAAAACATTGGAGAAAATAAGAGAAAGGAAAATGTTATAAAGCCCCTTTCCAAATCATCTCATCAAAAGATGCAGAAGCATACCCAAACCATAATACCAGTTGCCTTTTCTGGATGAAGGCTGTATACCAGCTCTGTATGAGGTGGAACAGAAATTGATATGAAATTACAGAAGTAATTGCAGTTATGGAAGTGCAGAAATCCTGTTATGAACCATATCCATTCTGCAACTCATCTCAGCAAGAACCAGGGCACCCATTCTGAGCAGCACTGCTGTGGGCCTCTCTCTTATGGGGGCACTGTGAGGCTGTTGGGGCTTGATTCCAGGGAAAGGAGAACCCTTAGGATTCACCTGGTGAGCTTCTCCAAGGGGATCAGCTGTGCATTTAGGATAAAGCTAGTGGTGACGTGTTAATACTTCTCTGTGGTGCCTTGGTCAGACATCACTCTGACCAAGACTCTCTGACTCAGAGAATCCTGCACAGTCAGGAAAACTGGAAAATGGAAAGCTCAAACCTGCTTCCTGTTAGTGGTAGAAACAAATGTGGGCATGACAGAAGGGGCAGAACGCAGGCTTTGGCAAGGGGACACCTGAGTTATGAGTGTAAAAGGTAACAGAGGATGTGGGGGAATCCCAGTGTCAGCACAGCAGATTCAATTTCAGGTTGCTGCTGCAATGAGTTCTCAACAATGCTTGGTGAGCAGGGTGCTGATAGATCTGCTCTTGGCATGCACAGCCCAGAGAAGGCAAAGATATCAGGATGTACTGCTGTATTCAAACCAGGCAGATATTAAAGATCAGCTGCTGACAACTCAAAAGACACTGAAGTAGTTTGCAAGTATGCTCTATTGAATGAAATAATGCCACTTTGCAGAATCTGTTCACACATCACCCATATGTGCAATAATCTGCCAAGTGCTTTGAGATTTTCAGTGCATATGAAAATTTTAAATGCAGAATAATTATGAGATAGAAACTATGAAACTTACTGAATAAATAGTTGGAATATGCACTAAGATTAAAATTAGCAATATAATACTAAAATACTGCTTATTTGTGTTTTACTAGGTTCTTAAACAATGCTTTTTATTTCTAAGAAGTTGAAAAAAGAAGTCTTTTTGTGCAGAATTATTTAAACATATTACAGCTAAAAGATCATACAAAAAAAGAGATTGCACAAAAAAAAGGGAGAATTAAATTTAATATACTTAGATGCAAGGATTCTAATTTCATAACAGTTTTACTGGTGATGTTTTATGAAAAGCTGTGACTTTTCTTGCTCCAAATAAATAAAGAAGGCATCTAATTAGTTAATAAGAAGTCATACGATTACAAACAAATCCTTTTCTTTTTTCTTTTTTTTTTCTTTTCTTCTTCCCCTATATTTTTGTCACAGACTTCTATTAGTTCTTTTTTTCTTGTAGTTATGGATATGTAACTCAAAAAAACAGTTTAATTTTAAAATTCAGTTTAATTTCTTCTGAAAACTCATTTACAAGTGATTTTTTCCTTGGGAAACTTGCCTTGCATAGTTCTATTTCTACTGCAAAATGTAATGAATGGGTTACTATTCCAGGAACTGATGCCAGTAAGCCACAATAAATGATCTTGTGGAAAAAAATGGCAAGATTTTGCAAGTGATTACAGAAGTTTTATCTTAGAAAATATGTGCTGGCCTCATTCAAGAAAGGTAGTATGAATTGGCTTATGCAAATCCACATTAGTAAGGATAATGAGTTTGGGCAGAAAAGATTAAACTTAATTAGTTGTGGATCTTGTTCTGATCATAATTTACCTGAAATGAATGTATCACCTGCGCCATGATCTCCACAGACAATGACTTTCTTTTGTACTTGGATTAGTGTTATTGCAGAATAATTGGGTTTGATCCTATCAGGGTGTATTATAAATGATCTCACAATACATGCTGTTTTATCTACAATTTCAGTAGGCATATCCATAAAAAATCAGCATGTATTTCTGTATCTACATGTTGTGGGTGTTTTGTTGTTTTGTTTTGGTTTTTTTTCAGTTTCTGCCAATTTATATAAAGGCATTTTCTTGTGAGGTGTTGGTCTTTTTTCCTCTTTTCCCTCACATTGCCTCTTACACACATTTTATGTATTTCCTGTAGGTAGTTAAGCCTACAGGATGACTGTGTCTGCCTCTCTCCAGCCACCTCTTCAAACTTGTAATGCAGTAGCTACCTCCAGTCTGTGCTGGTGATGTGAACAGTGGAAAGCAATACTATAATTTTTTTCCTTCTCCCATGGTGTTTCTGTGTGGAGGATTCCTGTTTTACCCCACTAGTAGAAGAAATCCATGACATAAATTTTACATGGGCCAAACCAAAAGTGAGGAAATTTTTGTAAAAGCAACGTAGGTGTGAATCAGAAATAGCCATCTTTCCCTGTTTATCTGCAGCAGAATAAAGACTTTTTATAATTTCAAAAAATAAATGAACTTATTTTTCATGTTTTATAAAAATAAGCCCTCTTTGCAATGCATCAAATTAGGATAGAAGCATGTAACTCCTGTTTCTTAGTATTGTCAGGATTTTATCATAACTGTAAAGAATAATGAGGTCCTTCAGGATGATAATTAGCTCCCTAAGTCATCATGTATAATAAGTTTTGAAACAGCAGTCTGTGTGAAACTCTCTCTGGTAGAGACACTTATTAAATAAAGCTATTTGAAAACATGGTGGATATTGCACTGCATTAACACCATCCCTTGGGATATTGGGTAAAAGGTCCCTGAAGCAAAAGAATGTCACCTTAACAATGTATAGAGGTCTGTGTACTGGCCAAAGTAATTCCCAGGAAGTGGGACAAAAGGACTTTAAAGCATAACAAGAAACTAGATGCTGGCTTCCCACTTTCCGTACTTTTTTCATGTGTTTTCATTGTCTATCATATATAGTTGGTTAATATTAGATTTTCTCACTGCTTCCTTTCCTGCTGTTTTATGCCCTTACAAGAAAAAATATGAAGAATGTAGAAAAGAGAGAACACAATATAAGAGTAGGGTTAATGTAACCCTTCTCTTTGGTCTGAAGATCTTAGAAGAGATGCCAGATGTGGGATGGGGTCGAGTATGTTGAAAGAGGATTATGGGATAGTTTAAAACAGCTGTGAGATTTAGAAAGAGAATATAAAGGACAGATGAAGAAAGAGGGTATATTTTGAAACAATCAGGAAAATAAGAATGATGATTATAAAACTATGGAGAAACAAAGAAGTAAAAGGGGAAGAGGTGGGTTGTGTAAGTGTAAGTAAAAGGAAGGTGGAAACACAAAAGCCACAAGTAAGGGAATAGCAGACACTATACATACTAGGCAATAAACCACCCAGATTTTTTTCAATGAGAATAATAACATATTACACTGAGTTTTTATCAGATACAAGAAGGTTGTTATGCCCACAGAAAGTGAAAGTAAGAATTAAACACTGAATTAATCAGTGATTTGAGTGGCATTCCCATAAGGAGTCATGTCTTGGATTCTAAAGGGAGGGTGCATTATTTAGAGATTTAACATCTGAGGGTTAGATGGCGTAGCCTGGCCTTACATGTTTAAGTCTGTTAAACTTCACCAGTGATGCTGTGCTAGACCCTTTTTATTATTGTGAAAATGTAGCTTCGAGAAACACATCTAGTCTCCTAAAGGCTCCAAAAGATGGGAGGACCATCATTCCTTTGTTAGTGGTGATTACAGCCTGCTTGTGGACTTGGTTGTGACCCAGTTGTCAAGAAGTGACTGACTTCAAAATGTTTGTCTGTGTTGTGTAGATGGGATCAGCTAACCCTGTCTGTGTAACTAATTATCTACTATTCCCAAATCCCAGCACAACCCAGTTTTCATTGTGGCAGGTGAAAGTAGTTCATGATCTTTTGCTTGCATGGGCTAATTACATGCAGTTCATAATTTTATAAGCTCTCCAAACTGTTTTCTTTAATATAAGAATTTCTCTATTTTGTGCTAAAGGTGATTATATTGCCAGGGAAAGCCTATGAAATTATTTAAAATGAGTATTAAAACACACAAAACTATATTTCCTTTTTTTTTTTTTTTTTTTTTAAGAAACCACCTGCAATTGCTGTTCGACCTGGATCAACACTAATTCCAATTAATAACATTAATCATCTCCCTGAACGTGATGATGATTATGGATATGAGTGCCTAGAAGGAAAAGACTGTGCTAGTTTCTTTTGTTGTTTTGAAGACTGCCGCACAGGATCTTGGCGAGAAGGAAGAATACACATCCGTATAGCAAAAATTGACTCCTATTCTCGAATCTTCTTTCCAACTGCCTTTGCATTGTTCAATCTTGTTTACTGGATTGGCTATCTTTATCTGTAAATTTCATAGGTTTGACAAACTCAGAAAAAAGTAATAATTGAATAGTCATTAATATTTTAACTGAGCAAAGATTAGAGCTGGTCCAAAATACTCAAATTTTTTTGTATGCTTTAAAAATTTGAAACAATGAGAGGAAATATGATGATGTAGTCTCCCTCTTGTGATCAGCTGTAGAACTGATACTGGTATTTTTGAAGAGAACATTTTAAAATAAATACCCCTAAGATTTATCGTTCTTGCACACACATACATACATCTTTTTCCAGCTCTAAGAAAATGCGAAATCAGAGGCTATGCTATTTAACTGAACTATCCTACATAAGCTCTCCATTTTAATTCTAAATGACAATGCAGAAGGATTTTGTAGCATCTCTTACACCTTTACAAAGAAAGCCTTAATTAAATGGGATTAGTTACTCTCATCCATTTCATCCTTAAGGTGATGATTTTATTAATCCCTAATTTTGAAAAGTTGAAATGTAACATTTCTCTTTTCAGCTATTTGTTCTCTCCAGTATGTTAAAAAGTTTGATTAGATGATAATTAATCAATTCAGATTTATACAGAATGCAGATATAAGAGCAGCAAGGAATGGATATATCAAAACAACCGAGGATAATTCTGAGCTTGTCTTATTCTGACCATGTATAGAGACTTTTGGCTTTCAACCTTAGACTACATTTTTATCTGTGCTCCATTTCCTATTACTTCATTTTTGTGAGTTCACCAAAGTTGTCCAAGAGGTCTACAACTTCCAGAAATTCTTATCCAGCTGCCATTGCCTGCTCATTTAGTAGAAAGCAGACTGATGTTGGCCCAGATTCTGGCCATTAAGTGTAATGATCTTCACATACGCAGTGTTGGAGAAAAAGTCATAACCCTACATTTGGAAGAATTTGTATCAGCAGAATTTGGAAGACCTGTAACAGTGCTGTATTCATTGTACGCACATCACTGTGTTAAAGCCCCAGTCCTAAGTGTGCAGTGTGTGGTCTGCTCCCCTTTGCACACAGCATGGTTTTGTAGATCTGATTTGTTACTGCACATGCCTCTCACTGAGCCTAAGCCAAGTGGATTGAGGTATTGAATGTGTGGTATGGATTGCTGGGTAATTACCTTCTTGCTGTTTGTTTGTTTCTAATGGAAAAGATGTGTTATGGAGGAGCAGTTAAAATAATCCTTATGCATTGATGAATCTTCTCCAAGATGGGATATGTCCCCCCAAAATCATAGGAGCAGTTCTTCATCCCTTCTGTGGTGAGAGCTTTGGTAGAAATTCTTCAGTAGTAGTCTTTCTGGATTGACCTCTTGGTGTTGACTATTGCTGTGTGGCAGCATTTGATATCTAATTTCTATTTCTAAATCCATTGTCTTCATTGTGGAAAAATGCAGTCTTTTCTCCTTTCTTAAAAAGAAACTGGTCTCAAGTGAGCTTGCAAATATCACTGTAAAATTAATATGTGCATTAAGTAAAAGTCGGCATTACACAGAAGACCTTACAGATTTTAAAGAGGATTAATGGGATTAGTATTTGGCTGTAGGTAAGGATATTCAGTGCTAAAGATAAAGACATGATTAATAGCTAAGAATAGAAAATGTTACATTAAGGGCTCTCCCCTTTCCCCCCAATATTTCTGTTGAATATGCTCCCTCCTCTGAATTTCTCAGAAAGAATTACTGTATTTATAGTCTAGTTGGTACCAGGCATAGTAAGATATGATATACAATACACATTTCAAAGGAAATGTTATTCCAGTGTTGAGCCCCAAAGTTTAATAGAGAATGTGCAGTTGTAGTGGAAGTGTGACAGAAATCCAATTTTAATGAAAACTTTATTTCAGTATTTAGCTGATGAAATACAGGAGTTCTTGAGAGCAGAAAGCCCAGATGATGAGTATGACTGATGAGTATGGCTGGCATTATTTGTGGTATGACCTTTCTGAGTACCAGTTCCTCTTACTGTTGGACTGAATATAGAAGTGCAGTACCATTAAGACTGATCTGCTATAATTTATTGGGTTTTTAGAGTCTCAATTTCATAGTGTTCAGTCCAAAAGAAACATGTCAGTTTTTATTCCATAATGTAGGTTGATGCTTTCTGACAGCATGCTGAACATTCCTCTGTAGGAGGGATGAAGGTGGCTTCAGCAGTACGTCGGATATGTGCTTGAAAAGCAGTCAGCTTGCTGTACAATGCAAGGCCCAGATTTAGTGAGTTCCTGAGTTTCATTAATTCACCTTTAAACAAAGGAAACTTAAAAGAATTTGGCACCTCACAAGAGGAAATACAAATTTCACAGCCTGCTCTCCTCTGGCTCATCTAGTTAGCTTTTTCTATTCATGTGGTTGTCAGTTGCCAATCAGCCTCCAGTGACTGAATTGGAGAACAGAAAACATTCAGAATTGGCAAGGGATGGATAAGAGGTCTTTCATCTCTAATTTCTATGGAACAATGTAATGGAGTATTAAACCTATTGAGTGTTATGGCTGTTTGGCTTATGGATACACTTGCTTCTGTCTGTTGACAAACTTTTCTGTGTACTTCATTTGCTTCTGATGAAATAATTTTAGTTTCTCATAGTACTGTGAGTGCAAATAGGAATGCGATTGCAGTGAAATGTATATAATAAATGGATTATTTTAGTCCTATGATTTGTTTTTACAATTTGCATGTAAACACTTGATTTCAAGAAATCTAAGTGATACTTTTTAAAATGACAAAAACCAGACAGTATAATTGAATGGAGTTAGATGCTGCGATAATTTTTCAAACTTACCTAGGTAAAAAGTTTGTTTACTCCTAGCTGGGATCACATTTTTTGGGAGTCATATTATGCTGACCATTACTGCATAAGCACACACTTAACCATATTCCTAATTACTACTGTTATTAAACCAGAATTCAGAAAAGGGTGTTCTTATGTACTGTCATTAAGAGTGATGCTATCATGAATCGATGCCATTAACACATGCTTAATTTGCACTAATTTCAATAATGAGTGTTCAGTAGCTCAAATAATTGAACATTAAGGATCTGAGCCAGAGCCTTTTCAATAAGAGATTTTCTCATTGAAAGAGAGGGACATAAGAGGAGAAATTGCTGTAAAGGCAGAGAGGGATACAAATTCTGGGAAAACTGTTTTATACTGCACCTATCTTTGGCTTCTCTTGAAATGTATTTTTCAAAAAAGATACTTTTCCTTGATATTTCTGTATTAGTGTTTACCAGTTGTCTGTTTTATTAGTGAATACAGATCAGCGTGTTATTTTTTGGTAAGGTTCTGTCTATGATTGTACCCCACTGATCTTTAGTGCATGTCTTCTGCGTCTGAATAAATCTGTTTTATGTAGTGGCAGTGCGACCAAAGCATGAACTCTGGGTAATATATTTAATATTCACATGTTGATGTGTTTCAAAGACTTTAACCTTATCCAATTTTCTGGCATTCAGAAATATAGGATTATGTAAGTCTTTGAAGGAGAATCACCTTCAACAGTATTTTTATAAATTTCTCTTCTCTATTTGGTATGGTAGTAGAACATTTGTTTAAAATTGATATATGAACTGTGCTTTGTAATTTGCAAACACCTTACAATTGAAAGTGAACAGGAGGAGTCTGGATTTAAATATCTATCTGCTTAAAGGAAGATATGTTAGATTTAATTGTATCAGTCATAATTTATGTCTACTGTTTCCAAATAGCTGAGAACTAGTGCAAATAGCAAATACATTTTTCTGTTAGTATAAATATTTTTGTAGAATTCATTGTAGTTTCTCTCAGTTGTCTGTTAAATGTGATCTTTCATGTATATGAAATAATATTGTATTTTTTAGTCATTATAATAGATGGAGAAGATAGAAACTATTGGGGAATTCTTTCTGAAAAATACAAAGCCAGGAATCAGAAAGAATTACTGTGCTTCTGTTCCTAAAAAAGCTCAGTGGATGTCCACATGCCTCATGAATGTGCTTCAGGAGGAGACTGACTCACAGGAAGTGGTAGAATAGGGTCCAGACTGTAGAAAAGGCTTTTGCATTGGTTCATGCCATGGATTTCCTACAAAAGTGGTTCAAGTGGAGGAAAGGAATAGATCTGCCCTAGTTTTTTCAGCGATCTCTCGTTTCTGCTTAATTTCAGTCAGCAACAGTAATTCTAATGCTCTGTTGACAGATGAAACAAAATGTGAAAAATTATCTTTATATTGCTCTTAGTTAGAGTTAATATTTCCCACAGATGGGTGGGATCATCTAACTGAACACACAAGATTATGACCAAGTTTTTCTCTAAGACAGGTGGTGGGAGTTTGCATCTGGAGGCTGAAGGATGGCTTGTTGTGATGGGCATTTTTCATTCAGTTGGGAATCTGCACTGAAAACTGGTAGGAGGAAAGGAAACAATGGTATGAGGGAAAGATTGATGGTGGCAGTGATCCCAGAATCAAGTTACATGGATCTGAATGACTTATATTTAGTTCATAGGTTTCTCAGTTGTATTTGTGATAATACCCTTGATTTCCTTGCAATATAATTAAATATTTCTAATGTTTTAAATAAAAAGGAAAATATTGTATTTCCTATGCAGTAACTACAGACTGAATTAGCAATAGAAAATTATCTTGAACATTCTGGTGAAATGTTGAACAGAAAACAGAGATCAGGTTGAATGATAAAAAGCTTTTTTTTTTTTAAATCTCCATGTATTATTTGACATAAATGAATTTTTAAAATTATTCATTATTAATTAGTGCAGTAGGCACTGGGAAAGGCCTAGTACCCAGTCTAAATTGCTATTAATCCCCTCAAGGGCTAAAATATTTGGGAATAGAAACTTGACTCAGACTGCACTCAGTTATCATCCCCTATTTCCATCAGGAATTGAGAAAGATGAATTGTGATTGTGCCAAACATGAACTAGATAGCTGGGATGCTCCAGGGAGGTTGGTTTCTGGTTAAAAGGAAGGGTCATTTCTGCCTGAGACTGTCACAGTTAGTTTTTGGATGTTATGATGCTAGTGAAAATGCAGCAAATAAACTTTTGATTTTACTTACTAGTAAACCTCACTGAGAAAGCCAGAGAGCTTTAGCAGAAATCTTAGATGGCTCTTGGAGACAGGAGATTGGCTAAAACTGAAGAAGACCAAATGATATAGCCCTTTCTACCTTAGCTGGGTCCTGTTCACCAGCAATAGGCTGATTCTGAAAAAAACTGTGACAGTGTCATGGTATTTTAAGGAAAAAAAAAATCTTTAAAATTCTTATTCCTCTTCTCTGTGACTAATCTTGCTCTGCCTGCAGACTGTGCTTTTGGTACATCAGTCTCACTTAAGATGTGTGAGGAGAGCCATGGGAGATGTAGGACAGAAAACCTGTAAACTGTTCTACCTTGTTCTTTCTCAGTTACTTTTCTTAGTCAAGAAAAGACGTTCAGAAGGGTAGGCGTATGGCATGTGCAAATGAGGACAATTTTTCTACTGACAACAGGGCCTGAGTCCCACTGACAGGATCAAGAGGGATGAGACTCTGTTCACAGTAATAAGGCTTCTCTTTTGTAATTCTTTGTAGTACCTACTTTTCCATACATCACTTCAGGCCTACCTGAGATTCAAAATATTTTTCGGGTTGGAAGTAATTCTTTTGTGTGTTTCTGGTAACACGCAGTAATTCTCTGTGTGTTTCATACAATGTCTTTATCATCAGGGTTTGAGCATTGCTGAATTCAGAAGGAAAAGTTTCCTCTTGAAGTTTCCTTGTCCAGGCACTGCAGGTGGGAGATGTCTTCCTGCCAAACATTGGAAAAGTGATTTTCAGTTGATCCTGCTAAGGAGACAGACTGGCTCTCTGGGGTGGCGTTAGGATTCCTACGTCATTTAGACCTGAGAAGGTTGAAGGAGTTTAAAGTCAGCAGTGTTAATGACCAGCACTGCCTCCACAGAGAATGTATTGCTTTTGCCAATTTGATATTTAAAAACAAAATCCAAAACTGTTACCGTAGGTGGAAAATGAGGATGAGTCATCATTTTACTACAGATATATATTTCCCCTTGAATTGTTTTTCTTCCTTAGTTAGATGGTATATAGGAGTCTTTTGGCTTGTGAAATATTCAGAAAAGAGGTGATGACCATTTTAAACACTGAAGACATGTTAGTCCATCTGCCAACAATGGTCTAAGAACAGCAGAAAAGAAAGCACTTGCCCTATAGTTCAGATTTCCCAAGAAGGATAAATATGGAAATTTGCATATTCATAGGCCCAGTATTAATATATAATCTGTGTTCACACTTAAGTCACTGAAAAAAATCCTAATGGTTTGTTAGTCTTCACAGTATCTTTTGTATTTCCCACTGTTGCCCACTACAAACACTTGGACACTTTGTCTGAACATGAAGAGTTGTGTTGGGATACCTTTAATTAGATTTTAAATTGCTATAGATTATACTTCAGAATCTGGTAGTCCCATGGTGATTTCTATATTTAAAAAATTGAATACTTTTACTTAATTTATCCAAGCATAATACTGCTATAATTTGTATTTCCCTGCATGAAAGTTTCATAAACAATTGCAGTTTATGGTCTGATAACATTTGTTGATTTATGATGTGTCTCAGTATTAACCATATTGAGGGTACAGTATTCAAATGCACAATAATCCAAATATCTTTCTTGCCATCTATAGTTCACATAATGTTTCAGTTACTCAGACTTCACTTCTTACTAGTACATCCTTGGTTTTTATTCAATATTTAAAAAAAAATGATGATATTTTTAACTACCTAAGTGAATATTTATACTATGCATTTAATTTGATAGTGTTTTGGCACCAATGGTCAATGTTGCAATATTATGCATCAGTGTTCCTTTTAAAGTTATTTATTAATGCCCTTGTGGATAACTTATTGTAAGAAATATGGAATATAAGATAAATGCTATAATTCTCTGTGATGCTTCTAAAGTTTATATATAAAGTATGTGATACTGAAGCAAATTTATTCTTCCATTTCAGTTTTCCTTCCAAAAATATCCTTAGTTGGGGTATTATTTTTATTTTTATTATCATTGCTATTATTTTTATTATTATGCTGATATTTACAGTTCTATTTAGTTATTTGGCACTTTTCCAGTAGTCTTGGAATGTATTAATCCATTATTATATTCAATTACCTGGAAACATCAAGGCATCCTCACAGTCTTTCAATGTGATTAAGCCATGGCTTCTTCAGCCTCTCTTAAAATGCCATAATCTTTTGTGTGCAATACCAAAACTAAAGCATTTTCAGGTATTAAATTGAGTTTTACTTGCTTTCCAGTTTTGAAAAAGTCTGTCTGCTGGGTTACAATGAAACACTGATATAATAATTTTTATATTTGACAATACTATTAATGAGCATGGCTGAACCAGAAGACTTCAGAGGTGATAAGCAGATGATGCTCTTGGCTAAATCCCATGTACAGCTACAATGGGCATTACAGAAATTACATTGGCAATGGCAACAACATATATATATATATATGTAGACTGGAAAGCAAGATATAAGAACGTATACATCAGTTTCTGATTTTCATTTTAACAAGCTTTCTCCTGCCAATAAAATTTATATTTTAAATGTGACCAAAAAGGTCATAAAAAAACCCCACTTAAGATTTGTACATTTGGAATGTAGGAGTAGTTCAGAAGCTTAAAATAATTATGGGTTTTTGTTTGATGGGTCTTGTGGATTAATTTTTAATTTTACTTCTTTTTACTGAAGAAGAAAGAGAGAAGAGATAGGCAATGGTATCACTAAAGGTAAATATGAAAATACCATCTAGGTGGATAGTAGATTTTCATACCTATTTGGAGCAGATATGGAGCAAATTTCCTCATTTATTTCTGCATTTGCAGAATAGATGGATTCTGCTCTCTGTTTTCAGATCTCTGTTGATATCATGGTAAAAGATAGACTCAGAATTTTGCATTTTTTAGTATACTCTTAGATTTTGGATACCTTATTTTCTGATGTGCGGTTTAAGACATGAAAGAAAAAAAAAATCGCTTTTCAGAAGTTTAGCCCTTTCTAAAAATTATCCCTTGAGCATTCAGCTTCAAGTACTTCAAAAATAGTAACTAGGCATCACTGAGTGTTTGAAATAAATTAGATTGCTATAGAATAGTGCAGAAAGTTCAATTATGGTTCAAGGATAGAATTTTGTAGCCTTTGGGGGAATTTTCTTTCTTTTTTTTTTAAATTTTGTTGACATGTGGGGAGATGGGAAAGCAAAGAGACAGATTTCATCCTATGGTTGCTTGGTTTTCTTTTGTTTTCAGCAGCATAACTCATGCAGTATCTCAGCTGCTAAAAGCTGATTTTCTGGAAGTGCAAACGAGACGTTGAGACTGGTAACAAGAACACTAATAATAAGCTCAGAAAGGAGATGTTTATGGCCTCATTATCAGAAGGGGCTTGAAGGCACAAGGCTTTGGAAACAGAAATTCTGAAGTAATGTTATGAGAAAGAGTTGGATTATAAGGACCTCTAGAGAAAAAAATCTCAGAAACCTTTTATCAGAAGACTAACAGTGGTTTGAAGGATAGGTTTTATGGTTCATAACTCTACTGTGAATGTTAATGTCTATTGAATTGTCATATAAATGTTGCACTAGTCCTTGTGCATTGAAAGGAAATGTGCTTGCACCCTGGTGCATGGTTCATACAGATGTTACTGCGATGTAATCTGTAATCTTCTAAATGTAAAATTCTGAAAGCCATAGTCGTAAAAAAAAAAAAATTATGCCCCACCATTGAATAACGTGTTCTGTGCAAAATGAGTAGATGTTTGTATTCTGATGTCTCTTAAATTGATAAGAATCAAGAGAGTTTCAACACTGAATTTTGTGACAAAGTTGTAATGCACTTGTTTATACTGTATCTGCTGTGAAGTTGATTAGTTACACTGTGAAAAAATAAATAGTGCCTGGGTACTTACTTTCTTATGCTATTTATTTTCTATATGCCATGCATTCTTTTTTCTTTAAGACAATTATGACAATGGTCATTCTGGTGGAAACAGTTTTACACACTGCTCTGATATACAACAATCCTTTATTTGCTTCTCTTTCCTTCCTTTGATAATAATGTAGGAACAACACCAGTCATGTAATAGAAATAAAGCTCTGGAACTAAAATCCAGTTTTATCAACCATTTTATTTGGGACCAGTTTTATAGCTGATAAGTATGTCCTGCTTGTAACTGCCAGGAGGAGTGTTCCTACTCTCCCACACAGCCCTTTCACTTTGGCCAGCACTGGTGCTTGGCTAATACCACTCTCCCATTCCAGAATCCCTCATGGCCATGATGTGTGTCTCCCTCTTCTTTGTTCTGTCATTTTAGGAAAAGTTGTAATGCTTTATTAGATGTGCTTCAGGTCAAGGAGCAGGGCTCATGCTGAAGCAAATATCCAGGGGCAAATCACTCCTCATTGTTCACAGGATCTGCCTGTGTCATCTTCCTCATGTGGTCAGTCCCAGTTCTAATGCAGTCTAAACTGACTGTGGAAAGGTGGTGAAAGAGGGATTCAGTCAGTGTAAAAATCGTGGGAAAGGAGTCAAAGATGTTTAAAGTCTCTGGTAGTTCTGGAAAATGCCACAGATATCTGCAGTCTCTTTCACATCCTTTTCAGATTAAATTTAAGGGTCCCTGCATTTCCTTTAGCATTTTATGTTCTTTTTTCCCTGGTAACTACCTCCAGTATCATGTCTTGATAGCTTGCTTAAATTAATGTATTTTTCTTGAAGATTGTTGATGTCTTGTCCGTTGTATGTACAGTGAAAAGAACTGTGGTATTTCATAACAGCAAACCTCTGAGTTCAAAATACTTTGAATAGCTTTTTAGGTCAAAAGAATCAAGCCTCTAGCTTCCACAGTACTGTTGATGAATGAAGGAATTAGGCAAAGCCTTTATGTACAGACTTCAAATCAAAATCTGTCATCTGTATTTTTAAGGTAAAAATTTTTCAGTATTATTGTCAATGGGGTGAATTTCAGATACACGTGCCTGTAAGGAGCTAAAATCACTTCATTTCTCATGGAAAAGTCAAAATGTATTATTTTCTACCGTACTGAGACTACTATGATTTGGGGTGACACAAGCCTTGCTGACTGAAATTACTAAATGTCGTAGCAGAGCCAGAACAAGAAAGTTAATTTTAAGACTTCCCAACTACTTCACCTTAATAATAACTAAATTAACCTTTTACTTTGTAAGAATTAGTAAACAAATGTCATAATAAATAAATATTTCTTAGTAATACCCAATTTTATTATTTGCTAATAATATCCACAGTAGAAGTTAAAGAGGTCTTCTAAACAATATATTAGGAACTCAAAGTGTATAAATGAAACCTATGGATATTAAAAAATCCTAGTTAAAAGAAATGACTGCTTTTCAGAATGACAGAACTTTGCAAAGCATTACATAAACCTTTCTGCATTCCCTCTCAAGCCCTAAGGTCCTGCACAGTTGTTGTTTTTTTTTTTGTGAGGGTCCACAAGCCCTGAGACTATGAACAGAGCTTCTCTTGGCAAGGGTAACATCTGTGGTGCTCTCACTTCTCTTTTCAGAAGGGGACTGTGAGCACAGAAGTCATTCCACACAGGCCAGTGAGCAGGCAGCACACGGTAACCATTTTCAGACCCGACCAGCCAATGTTAGGTACATACTGGCAACTGAATGTTTTCATGATCATTGCCAGTTCCTCATGGGTTGTGTCAGGTCAGGTGCTACTCTTGTCTTTTCTCATGTGCTCCATCCCACGAGAAACACTTCAGGTTTCTTCATCCTTTCTCCTTGTTTCAAGCTTTTTCAACCTTCTCAGTTCCTTTCCTCAGCAAATCTGGTTCTCAGTTCCTTTCCTTACATTATAAATCACTGGTGTTTCCTAAGCTTCCATTGTACTGTTCACCCTTTTCTCATTTGCTGCACCTTTGTTTTCTCATTTTTGTTATTGCTGGGTTAATTCAAACACTCACAGCTAGAATTGTGAAGAGTGATGAGCACTGTGGAAGTGATGCTGGCATAAGAAATAAGACATTTCCTCACACACCACCAGCAGTCAGGCAATACAGTATATTAGCATCCTGCTGAGTGAAGAACACCTCAGAGAATTTTGTCTGGCATAAGTAATCCGCTAAGAAATAGAAAATAAGCAGTAGATCATTCTTAACACTCTCCTAAGGATGTCATAAGACAAAAAGGACCAAACATCCTTGAGAATGATTTTTCTTTAGGTTGTTTAATACATGGTCCTGGTGTTGAGGTCAGTGGGCTCTGAGCAGCAGAGCCTCCAAAGGTGGTTGGGTTCCTGGGTGCTGGGGATTCCTTACAACGTGTTTGGAGGGATAACCTGGCAAAAGTTCAGACATTTTTGTAAGCTTCCTGCCACATTACCTAAAGGAAAGGGAGCACCAATACCTCAAAACGGTGACCTTATTTTCCTGCTCCTGTTATTTTCCATGGAAACCCCTTCTAGAAGCCCTAGGGGCTGTGCTCAGAGCATGAAAGGTTAGCTATGAGCTTTAAGACTTGGAGTTCAAAGTTGTCCTTTTCTGACACTAAATCTGCAAGACTCAAATATTTTCTGTTTTATTTGAGATAAATTTTTTTTGCGTGTCTCAGTTTATATCTGTAAGACATTAATAATGCTACTCATAAAGCTGTTAAAATTAACATTGACTTAGTGAATGCAAAGCACTCTGCTTTTTTTTTTTTTTTGTAAAGAACTTTCTAGTCAGAAAACTAGAACAAATTATATTTTTGAACTTTAAATTCTGAGAAACATACATTTGCATCCCCTTAGTCAGAAGTATACTGATAAGTATACAGATGGGTGATATTTCTGTGCCTAGAACTTTCCTAAAGTAAAAAAATCTGTAATTAATGAAGGCAAATCCTCAGAATTTTGTACTCAGGGTTCCACTCAGAATTTTGCAATCAGGGTTCCACTGAGAAAGTAACAAGGATCAGAGTTATCTGGCTTGTAAATGCTGAATCTGAAATCTTTGGAAAGAGGTGTGAAACTAAGAACTCTGATATCTTTCTGTTATTAATGATAATACACAAGAGAAATTTTATCCTGATTATCTGTTTTCTGGTTTGGGTCTGTTGCTGATAACAAAGCATGCTATCTTAATATTGGGCTTATTTGTGGTTTGTCCTATAGGCAGTATTAGAAGACTCTAAGACCTTCATAGTTGCAGTAAATTAAGCTGTAGTCACAAGTAAGCTCATCACTGCTCAAGGTTTGAATGAGTGGGGGAAAAAAAAAATCTGTCAGCCAATAAATAAAATTAATAGCAAAGTTTAGTTGCTGTAGTGAGATTGCTGATCTATTTTATTTAAAAGTTGACAGGACCAGAGTCTCAGCGTAAGGCAGCATTGCTCCTCTGCAATCAATAGAACTGATTTACAGCTGCAGCTGCTGGACCAAAATTATTTTATAACTAAGAGCTATATGTTCTGATGTGACTGAGAAGTATAACTAGTGTTTTGCATCAAAGTATTTGGTTTGGAATTACAGCCTTCTCAGCACATAGTGAAGTCACACTGAGATCACATGGTCATCATTCAGACTGTCAATGAGCATCCAGTTCTGTTCCCATCAGAAGCTGCTGCTTATTCCATGCAGTCTGTTGCACCGAGTACATACATTTGTGGCTTAGCAACAGAGTCATCTCAGCTGAGAAATGCATTTAATTCCCTATATTTGAAATTTCTCAGCAGCATGCAAAAGGTCTTTGAAATATAATTTACTAAAATATTTTCACCATGTAGCATTTGTTGGGCTAGAGATTTTTTTGCTGCCTTCTGATAACCCAGAGTGTTTTAAAATTCTAGCATAATTATTTAACTAAATGGGAAAATCCTGTTAGAGACAACCTTCACATTTCCCAGCAGCAACAATGAAGATAAATGTGAGTGTGTTATCGCCACAGCATTCCAAAAAACACATTAAGGGAAGTGATACATCAAAGCTGACGTGTCCTACAGACTGCCAGGGATTAGTGGTCAATAACTGGGCAGCAGGGCCAGAAGAATGCAGGCAGCCATGGCTGGTGCCCTTGCCATCAGAAGCAGTGCCCTGTAACAAAGGCAGAAGTTAGAAACTTGCAAAAACTTGGAAGTTGTCCAGATGTTAGACGTAGTGTTTCTGGACCATTGCCGTGTTTGGCTACCACTCCCACCTCAAGCTCGTGTGCTGTCATGTCCCTTAGAGGAGGACCCCTGTGAGGGGAAGGTGACCCTGGGCAACCATAGAGCTTCCCCTGGCCAGCTCTCCTGAGCAAATCCCTGTTCTCTACTGCACATACCTGAGTGATCCTTCAGCCCTTTGGGTGAAGCAATCAGATCTTCATGGAACACTGGAATGAAAGGCCTCTGTGCATATGTGTTGTGTGGTGAGTGTGTGTGTGTGTGTGTGTGTGTGTGTGTGTGTGTGTGTGTGTGTGCATGTTTTGGGTCATTGCTCTTGTCCCTGTGGTAACGATACTCCTGATTGGTACACCGAGCTTCTGACCTGTTAGATTACATTGCAGCGTCTCTGTTGGTGACCCCTTCTGTGTTTGTTCGTTTTGGGTGTCGGCTTTAATTACACACTTGACTCTTTTCTCTCTGTGAGGTTGATTTTCTGTGCTTTAGTGATAACTCTGCAGCCTTTATGTCCTGAAGCATTTCAGTTTACTCCTGTCTGGGAGCAAACCTCTTAATATCTCTGTTTAGCACTGAGCCAGTACCATCCTATTGCTGCCTTAGGGCAGGAGCTACTTTATGAGAACTTGATGAAGATCATTGGTGTAATTTCCACTTTTTGCAATTTTCCAGTGCTTAAAAGAGGCTTAATAAAAAGAGGAAGAACAGTTTCTTGTGTGGACAAATGGTGACAGGATAAGGGGCAATGGTTTTACACTGAAAGAGGGCAGATTTAG